CAGGCATACACATTTAAGTATGCACGCGACTTGCGCATGAGCTTGCCCATCGGCTTAATATGAGTTTGGAAATACCTTGTCTAACAAACCCCCAAACTTTCCACCAACATACTCACAAACACTATTAGCTCCGGCAACAAAATCGCCGACATCATTGATGTTGTTGTTATCGAAACCGATAGGAAATAAATATTGCTGCGAGCTCGAAACGGTTCGGCAATGGGAGATCCAACCGTAGACGGAGCAGAAAGACTCAAACCTATAATCAGAATCAGCAACACCAACAACTACGCCTTCTACTTTTACCCATCCACTGAAAATTAAATACCGGCTACCAGTCCGTCGATAAAAATCTTATGAGTTCATGTGCATACATACATATGTATTTCGAAAAACACACACTAAGAAAGGTTGTATCGTGGCTTTGCTACATACATACGATATTTGACGTTGGGATAGTCCAAACGGTATTGGCAGACCACATAAGCAAATCAGTTAAAACAGAACATTCGCCACGAACGGTTCCTTTTTGAATCCGTTAAACTAGTAAAACAGCATTTTTCTCGCTCACGTTGTTCCAGGCGCTTTTGAATAAACAGTTAGTTAAATTTGGCATAGTATGTGTACTAAAATATACTATTATTACTATTGGTATGAATAGCGATGAAAAAGTCAATTACTATTTAATAGTAATATACTCTATCCACGGTGTTAATGTCTATCCCTACGCCGAAGGGTTAATACTACTTTGATTAATTCACGCATCCGTACATAAGCATGTATACATATGTACGTAATCTTTTATTTGAGGCAAGTGTGTACTTAAAAATTAAACATGTAAATTATGATCGTGGCAGTACTCTGATTGTAGAATGTGAAAACACTGGCTATCTTGGCAAATACGACCATTGCCATCGGGAACACCAACTCTAGGTTAATCGCGTTAGCAATTTTTCGGTGCTCTATTTCTCTTGCTCTTTTTCTGTAATGGATACGCTCTTTCACACTACTCGTCAACACCGTTATTTCTATTGCAGTGCACTTTGCTTCAACTATTTTAAGCCACGCCACGTCGTGTTTAGCCGCGTTGCACTTGCAGCTCGTTTTTGTCCGTTTCCAAGCCCAGGCAACAACTTCACATGCAAACCACCACGACAGCGACAGAACACAAGCCAATGGAGCGACCTACCAACTGCCTTTACTGAAGCATTTCATCATGTTTATGGCTTAATCGACTGACGTTTGCTTCAGCTTGGTTCATTCGCACAACGGTCGTTGAACGTCGTAGTTTCGCACCACTCACAAATTTTATCAAAAATTGTAAGATCACACCACATACTAGTAATGGTACTATAGTACCATTACGCTCAGCATAAGCCAATGCCAAAATATCGGTCACTGTGTTCTTGCGTTTCAGAATTTGGTACAACGTTGTATACTTAAGCTAAACAAACTTTTGCATTCATCTGCACCAGAAGATCGTGAGTGCTGCTCCTGTTTTGTTGTGATAATAGAATTGTGAAACAATATTATTCATGAAACTTTTTGAAGAACATAGTTCAGTACCAAAAATATATTACGCATGTGTTAGTGTTTAATATGTGTATGTACATACATACATATACATTTATTATAGAATAGTGATTAAAACTTAAACTGTATGATTAAAGCAATGGCTGTACAACACCAAGCGATGCTGTGCTGAATACTTAGTCCACTTTGAAAAGCTTGAAGCATTATACACCTCATAAAAAAGGTAAGAACAGAATTTTTTGTTTTAATTCTTACAGACAGAAATTTTCGCTAGAAGTTATTATACGGGTTATATTCATTCTGGCTTGGGTTATTTTATATTGAAAACTTTTAAAACTTGAGTTGCTCTGATTTCAGGCAATTGTAAAAGTTTATGTAAATAACTTCTCTGTTAAGTTTTAGTGTTAAGTGTTAATCAATAAAGGTAAAACAATGAAAAGAAATTTAATGTATTATTAAAAACAAAAAACCACTTCTTATGTATGTATGTAGACAAATTCCTTTATTATAGATACGTCAATCTGAAATAAAAACTTGAATATATCAAACTCGATATCCTCATTAGCGTTCAGATATCATTGACGGTCTGTAGATTTCTTTGCTAAACGAGACATTCTTTTTACAGGTATTTCCACACAAAAAATTTCATGTGCAGAAGTTTGCGAGTAACCGTTAAAATAAACAAGTTGGAGTAGTAAAGAAATTAGTTAATTGCAAAACTTCAATATTTATGATACTGATGTAAAATTTAAAAAAACAGGTTTAATTTCAATATTAAACAAGAAATAACCTTAATTTCGATTGCACTGAAGCTATAATACCCTTCACAAATACAAAATACTACAAGAACTTGATTCTGATTGTTCAGTTTGTATGACAGCTACATGCAAAAATTATCCGATCTGAACAATTTCATAAAACGACTCTTGGAAAAAAAGAACATGTACAAAATTTCAGATCGATATCTCAAAAACTGAGCAACTAGTTCGCGTATATATGTACATACAGACAGACGAACATGGCGAAATGTACTCATCTCGTCATGCTATCATTTAGATAAATATTTTATAGGGTCTCCGATGTTTCCCGACGATGGGTATAAGAAACATGGTTACCGGATGTCTGTGATATTGCTTTTATTTACTCCTAAGTCTTTCTCCTGATAAAAGATCTCTATCCTTGATTAAGAGTACTAACCTGAACAAAACACTATCAAAGTTTAATAGCGAAGGAATTTCGCTATGAGTCAGTACTTTATTCACCGTATTAACCAGATTTTCATTTTAAAAACACATTTAAAAACTGTCTCGGTAGAAGAATATTTTACTCAAATGTGGAGGTCAAGATGAAAATAATGCCTAGTTTGACAGCCTCGAAGCTTCGCACCGATATCGAACTGGAGAACCGTTACAATGAAATTATTTAGTCTTGATAGAAATTATGCGCAGAAAAAAGCGACATACGTATGTACTTATGTACCTATGTATGTATATTTTCATTCAAAAAATTTTCATTTAATGCTAAGCTAAAACCAATTATCAACTTGTTAGTAATAAAATTTATTTTTCCAAGCATGATTAGCTTTCTGCGCACCTTATTCAAGCATACAAGCATCATATGATTCCCACCTTCAGGCTTTTTACCGAAAATTTTCCGAAGGTTTTAATAAAAATCAAAGGTGGAGATATGTTGGCTTACAGTCCACAAAATATCCTGTTTTTCTCAAAGAATATTTCTCTATGGATTTCAAACGTCATTGGCATGCTCACAGAAACAATGATGTCACTAAAATCGGTACATTGGTAAAGTCAGGAATATAATAAAGAAATTTTTCAATGCGGTAGACGTGGAAAAATATTGTTTTAATTATATTTATAGACAATTTCCAAAGCTTCGTAAGGAAAAGTTGAAAGATGGAAATATACAAATTTTATCAAGGTTATGACTGTTTCGAAAATTGAAGCTTATGAAAAATATGCTGACAAACTTTCAGACTCTAGGAGCAAATATGAGTACTAAGTTAAAATAACTCCGCAGTCAACTGGATAAATTTTCGAATAACATTCCAAATTATAATGAGAAACAGAGAGAGTGGTTTCATCATGGTCCTTAAAAAGTATCGGGAAATTATAAATGAAATGCTCATAAAATGAGTTTAAGTGAAATATAACATTCTTATGTTTTCGATCTATACTTCTATGTTTCTTTAATTTTCGAAACAAAATTGTCATTAGAAATGCATTCATATGTACATAAATATAACATATGTACGTATACCTCTTTTTATTTCATGTTTTTTTTTGGATTTTTGTATTCAAAAGTTAACTAGAGCAAATCTTTTAAAATCATTGATAGTTTCATAAATTGTGAGCCCAAATACATATGTAAATATGTACTTATATCCATAAAGATTTTATATCTATAGCATCAAAACCACTGCTGTTCAGTTTAATTCTTAAATAAGTATGTATATTGAATATCGAGAAATTATAAGAAATACGAGTATCAAGAAATTAAAAAAAGTCAACCTGAAAAATAATTGTTTTCTATCATCTGGTCGGAATTTAGTTGCTATCAACATAAGAACTCGTCCGGTTTACCATACGAGTATCAAAAAGACTGAAAAATACTTAAGTATTTTATATAATCAGGTCGGAATTTAGTTGCTATCAACGTAAGAATTCGTCCGGTTTGACGGATGTAAACGACAATACTCTGCACTTGCAGCATCAACACAAAGCCAGCATTAAGAATTCTTGGTAAATTGCAATTCTATATTAGAAAGACAACGGTATCGTCACCGCATGACAGTTACTGTGCTAACGGTGAACAAGAGGGAGAGATCAACGACAACAGTGCGAGCACCGGTGTAAGCAGAAGCATACCATTCCTGGCATTTCGTCAGTCGTACAACGACCTCGACTTTGATTTGTGGTACTCACTATGCACGTGAAAACGACAAGTATCTCAGGAGAATTACTGAGCTTTCTGTGCCAGGTAAAGAGAACAAATTCCAGTTATACTCTGATGACCAAATGGAATGGTAAAACGAAGTATTAAAATACACAGGGCATTATATACAGAAAACAAATGAGAGCGAAGAGAATGTGTGTGTGCAAAAATAGAGTGAGTATATTCTTTTACATCGCATCTCCACATGCAATGTACATTGCTAACCATCTGTCAAATACATTGCCATTGAAGTTGGCAATGTCTTGTGTGGGCATTTGCTATCATGAAAATAATCATTCTCGATATGGCGTCGGCTAGGTATGTTTGCGCTGATATAACGCATATATGAGCTCTTGTATCGATTAAAAATTTTATGAGGATGACAAAAATTTATGTGGTGAAAGAAAAAAGTATATTTATAAAATTATTATTATAAAAAATATAAATTTATGATTTGGATATTACTTTGCTAAATTGCAGTTTACGTAACAAAACATAAAACATAAAGTATTTTATCTAGGATGGCATCATGAGACCGAAACTATGAATGTACAAGTTGCATCTTCAAAATATGCATGAGCAATGTGCAGTCTCCATTGGCAATATTGCTAGCAATTTTTTGCAATCTTTAATTGCCTGTCGAAATGCCCCGTTATTTATTGATAACTAGTAGTGCGAACCCTACAAGAAACTGCTGACGGGTTCACCAATACACTCACATTTATTATGTCAGTACTGACAGTCAAATGAACAGACAATCAAATTAACAGTAAACTGTCAGTGTTTACGATTTTTCAAAAATTTTCTGTATTAGTCGAAAAAAGACAGCATATATTTCAATAGAAGTTTCGAGAAGTTGTGAAACAGCTATGAAGCTGTTATTCCGTGCGATAATCCAAAAGTGTTGCGTGCTCCTGTGCAATAACTCTCTTTGTGTTAAAAAAATAAATAAATATCGAGGGAGTTTTCAAATATATACGTCAGTAATTATTATGTTTCAAATAAAATTATTTTTTTTTTGTTAAATCTTCATTTTTTGAGGCATTTTTAAATTCCGAAATATTTATGAACTGGAGAAACACATACAACAGAGCTTGTGAGAGGAGCAAGGATGGAAACAAGTGAAATTTTCTTTTCATAATTTATTATTTAATAATATTTTTTCACACTCTTTTTTTGTATTTATGTATATTATTATAACTTATATTAATTAAATTTTTGAATTTATTAAAGAAATAAAAATTATATTATCTACTGCGCAAAAGAATTTTATACTTGTATAGACGTACAGTCATAACTGACAAATTGCAGCTATGATAACGTTTCAGTCATAACTGACTATTTTCAGCAATGATGGACGTATGGTCAGCAATGACTCAAGAAAGACATGAGAGTGAGCAGTATAGATATATAGTGAATCAATTCCGAATACCCATGTATTAAAGAGAGATGCAGACTCACACACACGTTTTTTTACATCAGTTTTTACACAAGACTCTTAAGAAAATGATAGAAACTTTGTTCTGCGCGTTGACAAAAATGACTGTCACTGTTCCTGTCTGGAAGTGAAGATCTCTGCAAACTACTTACTTTACCTTCTCAGATACATACATACATATACATATAAAACACATAAAGCAACGCATAAAATATGGGCGTATTGAAGCAAGTTTTGCTGGTAAACGGCCTTTAAACGACCTACACGCGCTCTTCGCTAAGCAAAAACGAAATTCGTTCGTATTGCCATATGAGGAGCGGGACTCAGAAAGAAACTCTTGCCATATCTTTAAACGAATTCACATAGGCAGTCTTATACATACATATCTACATATATGTATATGTGATATACATCTGTATGTATGTATACTTTCGAACATTTACGAATTCAATTCTTGTTTGTGTATCCACGTTATGGTGTATAACTATTTGGTTTCTGTCGACTCCAAGACGCCTTCTTCCCACCCAAACCTCCTCGCATGCCATTGAAGGTAATATTTAATGTGTGTATTTTTCATTTTTAATTTGATCTCTCATGGCTCTCCATGACTATTTTAGCTCCAATGATAGCCACAAATAAAATTATGTTGATACATTGATATACTTATGTACATATGTATGTAAACTGAGAGCAAAGTTGCTTCGACTTTAAGTTCGTACACAGTAGTTTTGATATCCGAACGCTGTGCACAAACCGTTGTTCTACGGCTGGCCACTCATTCGCGGAACAACTGTCTATCGCTGCAGATGTGGTAACGGTTTGTGGACTGTAGTTAGTAAACCGTAAACTTGATTGTTAAAAATCGTGTTTCAGCCCTCGTTTTGTGAACTTCGCTTTCGTCAATTTTCACATCTATACATATACATACATGTAGATGTACAAGCAATTACATATGTGTTGATTTTTCCATATTCTGCGATGATCTTGTACTTTTTAGCTTTGTCGGTCGTCACTATTCGCATTCCGCTGTTCTGGCGACATAGTTTTCGTAAATGCACGTAACGGTACTCTCGCAAATTCCACAAATCCCGCTAGACAAGTAAAATATAGCAACGCAAATAGAAACAAAAAAATTATGGATTAATAGATTTAGAGTAAGATTGACAAGAAACTTATACATACATAAGTATGTACTTATGTACTTGTATGTTTACACTACAGCAACTTGCTATCTACTAAGTATTTCTTAGCAGCTAATGATTTTTTACTAAATATAACAAGTGAAAAGATTTTATAAACAATACTTAAAGTACCAAATGAAAATTACTTGAAATAAAAAAAAAGCTTTGCTTTTCATTAAAAAAAAATGTAAATGTGTGCTCGGACCAGACGCTAAGTGCATGTATAGTACACATGTATGTACAAATATACCAAACACCTAAACATCGAATTCGTATATACATACATATTCCGTTTTCGAGTACGTATTTAATGCAGCACCAGGCTTTCCCATACAACTACGAGTATATTTGTTTAATTTTCTGTAGTCTATATTAGCTTATACGCACAATGGCGCCATATGTACCTACACTGGGCAGAAAAAGTCTGCGTATAAAGTACCAACAAAAATAAATTGTTGGAAAAAATAACTTTATATACTTTTTATTAAAACCAATTTATTTGATATTCATTAAAGGACGTTAAATATGCAGTTTTATGAAAATAAAAGTGATAAATAACCGACAGTAACATATAAACAAAACAAAACATACGGATAAAAAGAAAATTCATTAGAAAAAGTCTGCGTACAAGGTACATACATACATGCTTATGTATATAGATAAGTCGAATAAAGTTATTCTTCAAACGAATTATTCTTAAAATTTAATATCAAGTCGGATATCCCCACGCTTAAAAACTTCCGCTAAATGTTTTGGCATGGAATAGACAAGCATGGAGGTTTCTGTCGAAGGGATGTGAGCCCATTCCTCGCGCAGCACATCCTAGAGTATATCCTTTGAGGTAATTGTGCGTTGGCAAAATTTACGTTCCAGTGAATCTAATAGCAACTATTCAGGATTAAAATTTTGTGGCGTTTGAAGTGGACTCTATATATTCCATTTGGCCCACACAATTACTCTTTATGCACTTCCATATCATTGCTTCTTCACCACCGCTCTTCACAGTATGCATCAAATTTTCCTTATTGAGTGCCGCGCGTGTTATTCGCCCCTTGATTTCAAAGATGCAAAGCTTGCTCTCATAGGCAAAAATAACTTTGTTCCAAAATTCCCAGGGCTAATTTAAGTGCTCTTTCGCGAAAACATTATGTACTTACCTATTGAGTAGCGATATGAATAAGTTCTGGTGTGCGACTTGACCATGAAGCCCTGTTTTTTTTGATACCCTCTCAACCTTTTGCTACAGAGTATAATAGTTTTGTTCACCTAACGGTTGTTTTTATCATCTAAAACTAATCGATTTAGATATAGGGTAATATACTTATATATAAATGATCAGGATGAAGAGACGAGTGACTGTCTGTCCGTCCGTCCGTCCGTCTGTGCAAGCTGTATCTTGAGTAAAAATTGAGATATCTTTATGAAACTTGGTACACATGTTTCTTGGTACCGTAAGACGGTTGGTATTGCAGATGGGCGTAATCGGACCATTGCCACGCCCACAAAACGCCATTAATCAAAAACAAATAAATTGCCATAACTAAGCTCCACAACAAGATACAAGACTCTTATATACAGGTTCACATTAGAGAGGGTATCTGCAGTTTAAATTTTTTTTTTAAAGTTGGCGTTGTTTCGCCCCTTAATAAGTTTAATAAGCATATCTCCTAAACCGCTAAAGCTATTATAACAAAATTAACTGAAAGCAAATGTTTTTAGCGCTTCTACCTAAAGTGTGAAAATGGGTGAAATCGGGTTACAACCCCGCCCCAAATTACAAATACGCTTACTTCCCATATAACACAATTTTAGATTCTATCTGATTCTTCCACTTTCCACTATGCAAATCAAGCAACAATGATTATATCGGCGTAAAACTTTGCGTGAATAATACGTTTAAAGTATGCCACCTTGTGACCAAAAATATCTAAATTGAACCGAAACTGTTCAAGCCCCTAAGTACTAAATATGTGGACCCCAGTGCCTATAGTTGACTTTTTACCGAAAATATCGGTCAACATAGAACAAGGCGGCAGGATACACAAAGAAATCTAAAACGAGTATACCATTTGACTTTGCGAGGGTATAAAATGTTCGGTTACATCCGAACTTTGCCCTTCCTTACTTGTTAAATTTGCGAATTGTGTCAGTGCAGAGAGATTTCTTAAAACTTTTCTTAACACTTTCGATTTTGGATGCAGTCAATCGAAGGTCTTGCTTCACACTTTAAAAAACGTTACTAGTTTCCGGCTGTGCTAGTACTTTGGCCACCCTGGACAAGCCGAGATACAAAAACTCCGGTATGTTTGTAATTTTTTTAATACTCTTTGTATGAAAGAATGTGTTCTTCCAACAATTTGACCGATTTCAGATTATGTTTTTCCTTCTTCGAAAAGTTTAACCATTATTTCCCTTTCAGAGTGGCTTATTTCTTTTCTTTTCGGCGAGATTCGATATTCTAAATTTACATCTTTTGAAATTGCTACCTTTACGAAAACAAGTAAAACTATAACTTTCCGATACTTTTGCAATTGGTTATTACGTAGGGAATTCCCATTTTACTACTTGTACGCAAACTTTTTCTGCGCTGCCAAAATTACTATTTTTTGTAAATTTGTCTATAAAACTTTGGTGTCAGATTTTCATTGCTTTAAATGCTATGGGATTAAGCAAAAGACTAGTGATAAATCACTTAATATGATAAATTATTTTGTTTTATCAATAGAAAATAAGAGATAAGCGTGTACGCAGACTTTTTCTGGCGAGTGCATGTGGGTCGTACTGAATGTACATACATACATACTTGTACTTGTATGTATATACTTTGTGTAGTTCATAGTATCGCATGCATCCAAATCTACATATATACACATGTATATACAGACGTGTTCGAAATAATAGGAACAACCAAAGCGTACATGGAAATCCATGAATGAAATTTTTGCAAAAATATTTTTTCAAAATTTTTTTCGACACACAAGGTTATAGTTTTTTAAATATACAAAACCGAAACAACCTGTTCGAAAAAACAAGAAAAAACGTTAACTTCGAATGCAGTGCAATGCAATGAAGCTATAATAACCTTTACAAATACAAAGGTTTCTTACAATAACTTGATTCCGTGAAGATGCCTCGTCAAATAAAAAAGTTTTCTATACAAGCACTTGATTCCGATCGTTCAGTTTGTATGGCAGCTATGTGCTTTAGTCCTCCGATCCATAAAATTTCTTCGGAGATTGTATTATTGCCCTAAATAATAATCCATGCCAAATTTCGTGATGATACCTCGTCAAATGAAAGAGTTTTCCATAGAAGCACTTTATTCCGATCGTTCAGTTATATACTATAGTGATCCGATCTAACAATTTCTTCGGAAATTACATTGTTGTCTTAGAAAATAACTCATGCTAAATTTCGTGAAGATATTACATCAAATAAAAAAGTTTCCCATACAAAGACTTGCTTCCGATTGTTTAGTCTGTATGGCAGGTATATGCTATGGTGTCCGATATCGGCTGTTCCGACAAATGAGCAGTTTCTTAGTGAGGAAAGGACAGATGCAAAATTTCAGATCAATAGCATAAAAACTGAGGGACTAGTTTTCATATATACAGACGGACCGACGGACGGACAGACAGACAGATGGACATGAGTAAATCAACTGAGCTTATCATGCTGTTCATTTATGTATATATTTTATAGGGTCTCCGACGTTTCCTTCTTGGTGTTACAAACTTCGTGGCAAACTTAATATACCCTGTTCAGGGTATAATAAGAACAAATTCGTTCTCGACATTAAATTTTTGGATCTCTGCTACACAAATTTTCATTACATTCTAATATTCTTATCTGAGTGCGAATTCGGACGAGTTGGGAGTTTAAATTATTGTTAATTCTTCAAAACCGGGAAGAGCTCGACATTGTTACACTGACCAAAGGGAAGTTATTAAATAATTGCATTTGAGAATTACATACGGATACATACATATTAAACTCCGAAAATAATTTGCTGAAAGAGGAGAAGGCAGAAATAAACTTCCAATAAGCAGGATGAATTCAGCACAAGAATCGTTAAAACGTGGCACGTTTACGACTTCCAGGCAGTTAAAAAATTAATTACAAAGGTCAATATCAACACAATATATAAGAAAAATGTGGATTTCTGCTAACCTAAAAGCACGTAGTCCAGTGGACACAAGATTCTATGCTCCGATAAGACAAAGATTGTTCGGTTTGTAATCAGTGAGTTAACACGAAATATAGTACAACGAAGAGTATAAAGCATGGAGGCCTCACACTGATGTTACGGGGTTTTTTTTTGAGATTAGTGTTGGGCCTCTAGTAATGCGCTCAGTAACTATGGACACCATTTATTATGGTAATATCTTATGCCGAAGAGGATATGCCATTGGGAATGGATCTACCAAAAAAATAATGAGCCAAGGCGCATCTTGAAAGAAGCTAAGAAGTGGCTTCGTAGCAAAAATATTAATATAATAGACTGGTCGGCATGGTGGCGGGACCTTAATCAAATCGACCATCTCTGGGTGAATATGAGAAAAGGTGCAAGAGACTCCTCCTTAGATCCCTCATTCTTGAGGATTCTATGTACTCCAGATATACCAAAATAATAAAAAATCGTGTATGAACAACGTAATACTTAATGCAAAGGCAGTCGTGTACATTTCTCCACAATAATTAAATTGTCGTATAACTATTTATATTTTGTTATTATTTCTTCGAAAAGGTTGTTTCGGGCTCAAAGCCTAAAAGTGGGCTGTGCCACGCCCACTGTCTAATTTTGAACGCGGTTCCTATAACTTTTTTCCAGTGAATTTTGTTATTATAGCATTAGCAGTTTAGGAGATATGCACATTGAACCTATTAGACGCGGGACCACGCCCACTTAAAAAAAAAACTTTACCTGCAGATGCCCCTCCCTAATGTGATCCTGTGTACCAAATAACAGTCTTGTATCTCATTGCGGAGCTTAGTTATGGCAATTTATTTGTTTTTGATTAATGGCGTTTTGTGGGCGTGGCATTTGTCCGATTACGCCCATCTGCAATACCAACCGTCTCACGGTACCAAGAAACATGTCTACCAAGTTTCATAAAGATATCTCAATTTTTACTCAAGTTACAGCTTGCACGGACGGACGGACAGACGGACGGACGGACAGACAGTCAACTGGATTTCAACTCGTCTCTTCATCCTGATCATTCATATATATACCAACTCTAGACTTGCACAACTGTTTGTCGAAAAAGTTTTAATAATACTTTTGAAAAATTTTATTTATGGATTTTTATATTCGCTTCGGCTGCTCTTATTATTTCGAACGAATCTGTATGTACATGTAATGTGTGCCTTGATGTGATTTCCATTTAAGCTCCATTGCGCTAAGTTCATTCGAGTGAATTTATATGTATGTATGTGGTGCCGCACATACGCCCGTCTGTCGTCATTGTTCAAATAGACTAGAAGATACGCAGATCGGAGTGAAACTGAACAGCAATTATCAAAGACTCGATAATAATGTAAACCACACAAAATAGCTACAAAAAATACATGAAATATGCGTGGGGTTATGATGCAGCAGTCAATAATAACGAAGAGAAAATTTGTAAATAAAACGCAGGGAACATCAAATTAAGTTCTTCATATCTGCCAAATTCAAATGCAAATTCTTCTCAATTTTCCTGGCATAGCCTATATACAAAGATTGGTATGTACATACATAGGTAATTAGACAGATAAAAGTATTTCGTGGATCTGAACAAAGTCTATGTGAGGTGTATTAAAATCCGCTTGGTTTCAAGTTTATTGCAAAAAAATATCGAAACTATTAACCCTATTACAGTTTTCAACTCCACTCAGTTGAATTGAAGTTAAAGCAGTTCAACTTCAACCAAATTCTTTTCTAGTATTTCGAACTTACCTATTTTCAGTCGATGTTTCATTGGTGATGCCAACTAAGTGAAGATTTGAGGGCTAATTAAGAAGATGAAAATTTTTAAACAAAAATCAAAACAACTCAATTCTGTTATTGCTCACGAAATAAATAGAGGAAGGTAAATAACTGTTAAAATGTGCATTAGTAGAGCCAAAACGGATATGCTGCATATACGACAACGCTTTTAAGGCTGATCAAATCCATTGGAACTTTCTAATACCAAGTAAGCCAAAGTTTTATTGACAATTAAATGGCTTGTATGTAATATTTGTTGCAGAGCCATAAGCTATTTTCATTTAAATAGGGAAGCATTTAGTTTTTTACTAAATGATATGAAGAAACATTACCACAAACTCTCCTTTTTTTGATAACGGTAATTAACAAAAATGCAGTTTAGATGATATTTAGTTTGTGCTAACGCAAGCTATGATAAATATTATGGACACCGTATTTATGCACAGTGGATTAAAACACAATAGACTGAAGAGAAGCAAAACTCTGCAAAAATTTACATACATACATATAATCTTATATACAATAGATTGTATCGACTCTTTATGTTCGAAACGTTCACGGTCCCTTCATTTTATTTTTACTGTTTCAAAAATATGGCTTGCATCGTTTAAGTTCGAGATTAGAATACCTCGGCCACGTTTAGCTCTGGCCAAGGTATTATTAATTTATATTATAGTAAGGTACTCAATAGAGTAAATATTTTATTTATGATCAAATACAAAAATGTTATAAGCGGTATAAAAATCCACTGAATTAAAATTCGAAGTTTTAATAATAAACACAATTTTAATCTAATTCGGTTGATCAATATTTTTGGTTAATCCGTCAATAGTTAGCTTCTTTAACCGATGATTATTAGGTGGCAGTAGATATATCTGACCATTTATAAAATCAGTTTGGAAATGTATGCTTCCATTTTCATCAACAACTATTTCGATTGATTTGAAAGATATCAGATTTCCTGGCAATAATTGTTATATCTCGAAATTAATTTCATTAACACCTACATTTTTTGCTGCCATACACTTAGCTCGAATACTGAAAATATTTGTGTTGATTGATTATTTTGCAGTTGTACGCACATGCTTAAGGTCAATCGAAGTTTTTCAACATTTTGCCATAAGAATTAAGTTTTAGACATCGGCGAACGCAGAGAGGAATGCAAGATCTATTTAAAACACATGCATATATTTAGAAGGATACTTTTATTTATGAATTGTTTTTACTTTTAACATAATTGAGATATAAACTATCCTATATTTTAAGTTGGATCAGACTCCGGACAAACAATGGGTTCAACTTCATTGTTTGTCGAAATCTTGAATGGATTACATCAAATTTGGCATCATATTAATTTATTTTGATGTTCATAGACTCACTTAGTTTCATAACTATATATTACATCCCATCAGCAAAAAATTGTACTTAAATCATCCTCTAATGAAATAAAATGTTCCCCACAAGTCGTGCTATAAAAATAAACCGTAATAACTTTTTTGTTATAAATGTATTACATTTATTTATTTATAAATAAAAAAAAATTTTATTTTATTTTATATAAAAAATTATTTTTAAAAATTATGGACCGTAAATGACCCTGACATGCTCAGCGGCCTGAAGGGTTGAAGTCGGAACTGCCTCAATCATTTTTTTTAATGGACTACTTCAATCTCGTCAGGTTTCTTGGTTTTGCTCTCTCGCTTGGCATAACCCCATAAAAAAAACTCTGGCGCAGTCAGGTTAAGTGACCTTGGGGGCGAGAGGAAAGTGGAGAATATTAATTGGTTTTCAAATTTGCGTTGGAGCTCCGCAATAACCGGTCTGGCTAAGTCATAAACATGTTTACCAACAAACATGTCCATCTACTCGGGGAGTGCCGTCAAAATTCCGCCTGAATTCCCTTTGAAATGACGGACTGCAAAGCATGGTACCGCTGCACTATCCAAACCCTCTTTTCGGTATACCAAACATTCATTTTTAAAAAATTTAAATAATAACATGCCAAATAAAAAAAAATTAAGACGAATGCTAACACAGAAAAAGTTATTAAAGGTTTGTTTTTGTGGAACGATTCGTCAGTCACCCTGTATATGTAAATTGATTTGATGTGAAAAAAGTCAACCAAAGAATCAAAATTCATTATATTAGGGATATGAGGTTTAGACCAAGATGAATTTCATTTACATTGAGCGACAAACCATTAATATAATTCTATAAAATTTTCTAAATTTCTTAATTTCATTAAAATATCTAACATTTTGACCAACTTAAACGGTTTGAAGTCAGGTGGAAAGTCGGAAATCATTACATAGGAGGCAGAGAAATGAAAGGGCTGATTACATAAAGTTTTGACATTGTTCAGGTATACTTGAAATTTTATTTTCAAGCAATTTTATAAATATATTATATTATTATAAATATATCTATATGCCGGATATCTTAAAATCCTGAATATTGGTTATTTGAGGGGTAAGGCAAGTTTTCACCCGCTTTAATCCATTTTAGGCACAGAGATACAATGTCATTTCTCTGAATTTCAATAACATATATCACAGATTGACAGTTATGGTCTGATTTTGGCAATTTTAAGACTCGAGATGCATACCTCAAAGTTTTATCCGAATACATTTTGACGGATATATTCTTTTGTGCTTAATTTGTCTAATGCAAAGTGAAAGAATCATATGGAATTTAAATTTGTGCTATATGGTAAGCAATCGTGGTTGTAGTCGGATTGCGATATGTTATGTAGTGCATTTGTTTGAAATGTTCGAGTAGGTCAAGATATATGATTTCACCACGCCCATCAGCCCAATTTGGTTCTTGGATCGCGTAAAGTCCTCTTGTACCATCCTGGGTGTTAAATTTAATGTCTTTTGTGAATTTAGTTATTGATTTATCGCGTTTTTGGAGAGGTTGAGGTTACAAGACGATTTTATCCATTTTCAAACTGGTGGTTCACATAGGAATTGTACTAAATGAGTTTGGTTATTTCAGCTTTAGTGGTTTAGGAGATATGTACAATAAAACTATTAGAGGGCGGGACCATGCTTATTTTTTAAATTTTTAGCCCACAGATGCCCCTTGCTACTGCGATCCCCTGTACCAAATTACAGTTTTATATCTTAATTAAGTTCTTAGTTATGTCATTTTATAGGTTTTCGATTAATGGCGTTTTGTGGACGTGGCAGTAATCGGATTACGCCCATCTACGGACTCGTCCTCACTTTTTGGTCAAAAACACATGTACCAAGTTTCATTAAGATATCTTAATTTTTACTGAAGTTATCGCTTGCACAGACGGACATACGGACAGGTAGACAGTCACCTGGATTTCAACTCAACAACTTCATCATCCTGACCATTTTTATGTGTACCAAGATATAGGGTTATACTCTATTATTGTTTAGTGATACACACAACCGTTAGGTGAACAAAGCTATTATCTCTGTAACAACATGTTGCAGGAGTATAAACACGTTGTATAAAAATTCAACATGCATTATTCGAAGAAACCGAATGGTTTACAATCAAATTTGTTATCCCATTAACTTCTTTATATTATAAGTCGCAGACTTAGTTTCATAAAATAATAAGAGTAAAATAGGAAAGGTACAATGTTTTACAAAAATGTACAATTGTTGGCGCATGCCGCTGATATTAATACTATTAGCTTTAACAATCACGCCGTTACTTCTGCTTTCTCCAGGCTAGACAAAGAAGCGAAGCGAATAGATCTAGTGGTGAATGGGTACGCTAGCTGAGTCATGTCGTCCGAATACACGAAATCACACTAGCTTTGAAGGTGTTCGATGCGGTACCCGCTGGTGGAAGTAGAAGAGGAAGATGACCTCCATTCCGTATATTCCAATGTAATATTAGTAGTAGATTTATCTTCATAACTACATTTTTTTCGTCCGTAGTTTTATTAAAATGTCACACATTTTGACCAACATAAATGATTTCAAGTCAGATGGAAAGTTCATGACGTGTATATCAGGAATTGATTGGATTAACTTTTGTCATTACTTAAGTATACTCTAGAACATAAGTATATCCAAACAATTTTATGAAGACTACTCACAAACTGACCGACATATTATGCATAAAATCTGCTAGAATAGCGTATATCATTATATACATATAGTATATGGAATTTGGGGTAATTCGTGAAGGTTTGAATGAAATTGCTTTAGATCTTAGACTAAACTTCATACCCTTAATATAATGATTCCCGATCCTATGACTGATTTCTTCCCGATTGGGTATATATTCTAACTTTAGTCTCTTTCGATGAATTTTTAATTAAGTGGATTCATATAATGATGAATATTGAATCCTTACGCAGCATTTATTAATATAAAGTTTTGCCAACACTTGAATACATTTCTTCACCTTTGAATCGCGCCCATTGCAAAGAGTATAATATGTTCGTTTACATCCTTCCTTACTTGCTCGATTACTTATTAACTGCTATAACTTGAAGAACATAGTATTAGTTTTTATACTCTTAACAGGGTATATTAAGTTTGATACGAAGTTTGTGACACCCAAAAGTAAAAGTCGGATTCCTTATAAAATATATGTATACTCGTATAAGTATGTAAAGGATCAGCGTGGCGACCTGAGCCGGTATAGCCATTTTCGTTTGTCTGTCCGTCTTTATATACGCGAACTAGTCCCTAAGCTTTTGAGATATCGAGCAGAAATTTGGCACACGTCCTTCTTCCCAAGAAGCTGCTCATTGGATTACTACAGCTTTAAGCTGCCATACAAACTGACCGATCAAAATCAAGCTCTTGTATAGCAAGCTATTTTATTTTATAATATATCTTCATGGCATATGCATAAATTATTACCGAACACAATGCCACAATCTCCGAAAACATTATTCAGCTCGACGTATGACATGGTATATTCACGAAATGGATTATTGTCCAAGACAATGCTGGGAAGGGAAGTTATTGTGTTTTAAGTGTCAGTATGTTTTTGTCATCAGTGCGAAAATGAGCTTCGAATAAAGAGCCAAAATTAAATTTTGTTTTAAAATTGGTAAAACATTTACCGAAACGTTTCAATTGATGAAACAAGTTTATGGCGATGATTGCCTATCCTGTAGCAGAGTGCACGAGTGGTTTCAACGTTTTCAAAGTGGTCGTGACGACATACATGAGAAATGAGCCGAAACCCAAAAAATCGCGCCGGGAGAAGTCAAAAGTGAAGACAATGCTGATTTGTTTTTATGATTCCAATGGTATTATCCACAAAGAATTTGTTCCACCCAGCCAAAACGTTAATGCGGTATTATACCTTGGAGTTTTGAAGCATTTGGTGCACCGTATTCGACCCGAATATCGCGAAGATGGAAATTGGCGTTTGTTGCACGATAATGCGCCGTCTCATCGACGCTTGTGGCCAATTATTTGACCAAAAATCACATTTTAACAATCAACCACTCCCCGTATTCATCTGATATGGCACCGTGCGACTTCTACTTTTTCGAAAAAATTCATTTGCTGATGAAAGGAAAGCGTTATGCAGACGGGGAGGCCATTCAAAAGACTTGCGTCGGCATACTGGCGGCCATACCGGGCAACAAGCTAACACACTCGTTCCACATGCTTTTGGACCGTGCAATTAAATTAATTGATAAAACAATTTGTTCTGTCTTTTTTTTAAAGTCCTGTTTACTTTGGAACGCACCTTGTATGTACTTATATCAAAGCCAGTGCATCGCATGACCGAATTTAGTATATGTATGTTCATATATAGATTACACATACTAATAGTTGCTAATGAACAAGGCGGTTTTTTCTTGGACGCACTTTGTGGAATTGATATAACTTCAAGTTCAATCCTTTCGATGCCTATTCGCCTACCAGACTATCCTATTAAATACATAAGTACATTGGTTATTATTATAATATTTAATGCATGCCCAGGGCCGTAGAGAGAAACCCGGTGCTCGGGGTGATATAGGGTGAAGGCCCCCTATTTAATTTGAGAGAAATTAGTTTCATTTTACCATATGTATATACTTATTTTATTAATGTTACATGTGCTCCAGTACATACATATGTATATTATAATTCGGGTAAAGCATCCTGAAGAAACATTGATGCTGATCTCAAAAAACTTAATTTTTGATTGACCGCTGAGAAGCATAATATTAAATTATAAAGTTACGAGCAAATATTCTTATGAAATATGCATGGAAAATTATAATGGGAACAATTGTAGTGAATTGTTGCCCCACAGCAACGCGCGGCCGCATCTTGTTGTTACAAGAAATTTCCGTGTAAACTTGAATAGGTCTCCAGCGTGTAGTGTACGTATATAATCATATATACATACAATCCATACTAATATTATTATAATATATATTTATATTATAAAATTATAAATGTGAATGTAAGTATGTTCGTTACGCTTTCACGCCGAAACCACGTAACCAATCATCATGAAACTTTGTACACATATGTATTGTATGTCTTATAGTATCGGAAGAGACATAATATACATATTTATTGATTCTTAAAAACCAAATATATTTTTGACGAATTGTGAAAAAAACTATTTTTTCAGATCATACCTGTTTGTCAAGTAAATTTTACAATTAAAAAAAAAAAATATTGTGGCAGATACGATTGTTTGTCGAAAAATATTTCAAAATGTAACAAAACAAAAAAGCGTAAAACCGACTAAATTGGGGTTTTCTGTTTACCACCGCTAACTAGAAGATGATTATCGCTGTATATTATTCGTGTACATAGTATGTATTAATTTAATTATTTGATTTTGTTAATAATCTTTGATACAGCTTTATTTAAGATATCCAGGCGAGTTCCCATGATATTTTCAATGCGTTATGAGATATTCAATGCGTTTTTATATGTATGTACATCTTAAGGTCTCTGGAAAAATATCACGAAAATACCTTTTTTTTACATTATTTTGGAATTCAAAAATAATACGAGCTCTGGGAAACTTTTCGATAAAGCTAAGTTATAAAGTTTGACGTGGAGGTTTACAATTTATATTTATTCTGGAGTAGCGTTTTCATCTATAAAAGAAATTGAAACTTTGCAAAAGTCTACCAAACAGCTGGAAAGTACCGGATAAGGTAAATAAATTCAATTTAGACATATAAATAGTATAGAACAGCGTAGTCACCAAACGGCTCAATAAAATCAAGCGAAATCTTAGTAAAGTGTTTGTCAAACATATGTGTTTTACGAAAACCTTTCGGAAAGTAGTCAAGAAGCACTTGATTCCGAATGAATAGAGTGTGAAATTTAAAAGCTAAGCCTAAAATAGTTTTACGAATAAGCTATAAACAAAGAACTTTACTTACAAAAATGTGAATTGATTAAGCTTTAAAGTTGTAAACATAAAACTCTAATTTCCATACATTAAAAAATTTAGAAATATTTTTATGTAACACATACATATACTTAAATTCCCAATTGGCACTTGTTCTTGTCCTAACTACTTTGAACATTTTCGTTTAACTTTAATCAGGCGAAAATATCAGGCGCTAAAGTGCCGGAGCCTACAAGGATGGCAAAGCTTTTGGCTCATTGTGCTACTTGTGCCATTGCGATTGCCATCTTAAAATTTATTACCATGGCAACGGCAACAACAATGACTACTGGCAATGCAAATAATTCGTTTGGGTAAGGGAGATTTATGTAGCTTGTACCCTCGCAATCCATTACTACTATATTTTTTAGATTTTCTTCTTTCAGTTAGACAAAAAACTCAAGTATTAAATTAAATGACAGATGATTTATACGAATATAAACAATGTTCAATTCATCAATTGTATTTAATTCTACTTTAATTACTCATATTTTTCTGCTATATTATAAATGACCTGTTGTTCTAAATTTGTTACTGAAGGATGATTTTTACTTCCAAATTCATAGTTAGCATAAAGTATGTTTAGTTCACCAATTTTAGTTAAGTTAAAAATATGCAACACTAGTTAATCGCAACTAATAAAAAATCGAGGTAGTTGTTTTTATTGAGTATTGCACTGATCGAGGTTGAATAAATTATTCTAAATATGAAATATAAAATGGAAACATTTATTGGGAAACAAAATTTATTTATAAAATTTTATAGTATATGCATATTTACTAAAATGCGTAGTTTTTGATAAATGGAGGGAATTGGACCACGAACAAAATGCCACTAATGGAAAACCTAAATAAATATGTGTGTTTGCACAAATGTAATATGATACATCAAATTATGGCAGAGTAGCATCTGTGGTTTGAAAATGTTCAAAAAGTGGGCACTGTCCCGCCCCTTAATAAGTTTAATGTACATGAGCAATATCAATCAAATTTACTCCGGGAAAATCTTTTCGGTACTTCCTCCGACAGTGTGAAAATTGGTGAAATCGGAAGATAATCCCGCCCACTCGCCATACAACAGTTTTTTAAATATTGTATTAAGTGCGATAACTCTCTAAACAAATACGTGAGGAGTATTAAAATTCATCATTATACAATGTGCTTGCACCGTTCACCTTAAGTTGAAATCCTATATCTCAGTAACTATTTGATCAATATCTTTCATTTCATTTTACAGTGCCTAAATCGAGAGCCACTGATGTTGTTGAAAACCACTTTGTCCAAATAGTTTCTTTATGGTATGCCATCCCACCTCAAAATATTGTCGAAATCGCACAATAACTTCTCAAGCAATACAGAATATGTGGACCCAAGAATGGGTTAACTATGATTAACTTTTGACCGAAATTATTGATCAATCTGTGAAATTTAGTCCTGGAATTCGTAGAGAATCCTTTTATGACAACAGTATGCCCTTGTGTCAAAAAGGGGCCCATACACTCCCTATATACCAAATACAGACATGGGTAAAACAACTGACGAGCTAAGTCGCCGATCATATACTTGCACATACGAGGTGTTCAAAGGAAAATGTGAATTTTGATTTTTCGGCTGTGTACATTCGATTATCGATATTTTGTTATAAGATACCAAATTCGAATAGTAGTTTGTTTTTGACAACAGAAAAGGTTAGTTACGTTTTTGTGTGCTCTTCGATTTTTGTCTTTTGAAAGAAATGGATCAAAGAATATGTATTAAATTTTGCTTTCAAAATGGAATAAAGTGCTGTGGCGGCGAAGTTTGTTCCAAAATAGCTGAATTTTGAGCAAAAGCAATGTCGCATGAGTATCGCTCAGGTGATTTTTGGCCAGAAACAAAACCGTAATCATTTCTCAACCACCGTATTCACTAGATTTGGCTTCCTGCGACTTTTTCCTATTCTCAAGACTGAAGAAACCAATGAAAGGAAAGCGTTTTGCCACATTCATAGGGTAACCAACGTATCCTTCAGGGTGTCAAACTTAGTGCACCCTGTTTAGGGTAACTTTAGTAAATACCTTTAAAATAGGAAAAGTGGTTTCTTTTCCCGTTTGATTTCTTTTATGCAGAGCTTGGAATATCCATTGATTCCATCCCTGCATATGCAAATGTACTTCACATTTGTGTCAATCAATATCGCACCTATTATTTTTTACAAGAATTTGTCCTAGTCTTAAAACTGTATTGGCTTCACCGCAATTATTCAGTTGTGACAACAATTTTTGGGCAATTTTTTTTTCCCACAGAATTTCTTCACATTTACATAATTCAACCCGTTTATCCTTTCATTACACATTTTTAAAATGGTACAATTATTTGTCTAAATAAACGGTATGAAATATTAATAATTTGTTTATTTTCATAACCAATAATCTGTTACATTGGATACGGCCAAAGATATTTAAAATAAAGTTATATATATCCGGTATATAAAGGGTAAAGGGAATAATACGGATTATACACATTGCAGTACCAAATTGCTGGATTCTAAACGTAAGAAGTTTATTTAACGGTTTGCCACATTTTTCAAGCACCAACACCACATAACGTAAAGTATTTGAAAAAAAAACAATATTTTCTTGAAAGCGGTAATAATCCGTTAATTAGGCCGTTTTTGACTGGAAATTTTTTGTACCAATCTCGACCGATTTACATTTACTCAAGTCATGAAGCAGATGAATGGACAAACTGACAGATACTGTTGAGTCAAATGGTGCCTTCTTACACACATAAATACTAATATATACATATGTATGGTATGTACATATATTCAATATATAGGTTGCAAGAGTCAAAAATATCGGAAATCCACCAAATTTTAACGACAAATAAAATTTAGTTTAGTATACGGTACGAATTCGGCATCAATTATAATTTTAGAATTAAAGCGATATGCTGTTCTCCTATTAATGTGAGCTTATTTTTATCTGTGCGCAACTTATTCTATTGTACACATAACCTAATAATAATGTAGATAAACTCAATATATTCTTGAATTTACCTTTTTAATGCTGGCCGCTATATACATATGTGCAATACCTATGTATTCAAATATTTAGATAAGGGGCGGGTGAATTGTTTTTATACTCTCGCAACCTGTTGCTACAGAGTATAAAAGTTTTGTTCACCTAACGGTTGTTTGTATCACCTAAAACTAATCGATTTAGATATAGGGTTATGTATATATATAATATATCATCTGGAGGAAGAGACGAGTTGAAATCCGGGTGACTGTCTGTCCGTCCGTCCGTCCTCTAATAGGTTTAATGTGCATATCTCCTAAACCATTAAAGCTATAGTAACAAAATTCACTGAGAGCAAATGGTTTTAGCATAGTCTATCGACAGTGAAATCGGGTGACAACTCCGCCCACTCCCTTTATAACGGTACTGTTAAAAACTACTAAAAGCACGATAAATTAAGCGGTTAAAAAAGCCAGAGACATTAAATTGTATCTCAGGGATGGTATGAGATGACTTTATAGGAACCGTGTTCAAAACTAGACAGTCGGCGTGGCACCGCTCACTTTTAGGTGCAACCCATATCTTGGGATCTGCTTAACCGATTTCAACCAAATTTGGTACCTAATATTCTTCTCATATTTCTATGTTATAGTGCGAAAATGGGCGAAATCGGATTACAACCTCGCTTATTTCCCATATAACACTATTTTAAATTCCATCTGATTCTTTTACTTTCCACTATGCAAATGAAGCAACAATGATTGTATCGGGATATTGTGACCAAAAACTGTCTATATCGAACCAAATCTGTTCAAGCCCCTAGGTACTGAATATGTTGACCTTAGTGTCTATAGTTTACTTTTTACCGAAAATATCGGTCAATGTGTAAAATATATAATATAATTGAAATTCATATAATAAAATAAATAAATAAAACTCTCGATAATATTATATACAAATATAATACAAAAATTGGTTGAATTGGATCAATACTTCCTTTAATATACAATTTCGCTAACACCTGAAGTAATTTCCCGGGCTTTGATCCTTGCAAGTTGCGAGAGTTTCCGGTTACACCCGAACTTAGAACTTCCTTACTTGTTATAAATATTTTCTTTCACTAAATTTTGCAAATAAAATTCGCGTAATTCTTGACTTCGCAAAATCTGTTTTATTATACAATAAGTGCTTCCCTGTCGATTTCTGACGTAATGTTTTCGAAAATAACAATTTTGGTGTTGTAAAAAGGAACAGAAGCCAAATGCAGATACATATTCATCTACTTAAGTGCGTCTACCTATGAGCATGTACAAAAAATACAAATATATGTACATACATATATAGAGGCTTGGTGGTGCTGCTGATCTCTCATTTTATTTTTTCTTTTGAGTGCTCATTCTTAATTTTATTCTACATATTAGAATATCTACATACATACCTATTACATGTATATATATACATGTATGAAATAATTATTAACGCTTCGATTTTCGACTCGCCGCTCCATATTTAAACCAATGCTCTCGATTTCGCTTACTTTCGAACTTATTATTTTCATATAATATATATATATATGTATGTACCATATGTACGTTTTTTTCAATAATTTTTTTCGGGTATACCAGTCAGACATTTATGGTATAAAGGTTATCTTCAAATATAAATTTATAGAAATAATGCATATTAATATTTTTTATATCACCTATATATTTCAGGCGATATAATAATATTTAAAATTTCCCGAAGGTTTAACAATGTACTGTTGCTAAGTCTTCGAAAACTGTGTTTTTTCCTTATTATTTTGCATTTGTAGAAGCTACAAAAGTAATATATTTTTTAAGATCGCATTTTCAATGAAATAGTTATTTTGATTTGACACACTATGTTTCTAAATCCGTCAAGGAAATAGGTTTATTCTAATGCTAACAGTTAATTTGTTTTGGGTATACCATGTTTGCCTAAACAAATTCACTTTTTAATTTTTATTCTAAGCACAATTATCAGAAACTGAAGCAACTTAATAATTCTTGACTTCGCAATAATTGTTTACTTATGCAATAAGTGCTTCCCGGTCGGTTTTTGATTTAATGTTTTCGAAAATAACAATTTTGGTGTTGTACAAAGGCACAGAAGCCATATGCAGATACTTATTTATCTACTTAAGTAAGTGTGGCTACCTATGAGGGGAAGGATGTGAGAGAGACAAACGTAATGTACTGCACGAAGATTAAGCATAATTTGAGTTTTAATAACGCTAAGAAAGGTGTCCATCAACTTGTAGTTAGTTGAGAATAAAAACATTAAATATAATTTCCGAGAGCTTGCTCCGAAGTTACTTCCTCTACATCTGGTGTTTGTCGAGAAATAAAAAATTGTTCTATCGAATTCCAAAATGTTTTTTGGTCAGACATTATTAATTTGGATTGTCCGGAGGATTGCCCTAAGTACTGGCGCGATTTCTGACATTCAAGGCAAGGCAC